GGCAGTCCCTCTCGCGTCCGGGCCTCCTCGGCGGTCCTCGCAACCCAGCCATCGCGAAGCACACACCGGGCGTCGGGGATCGCGGGCCGATCTCCGGCCACCGTAAGCGCGGGCCTGCGGACGGCGAGCATGGGTGGCTCCCCGTCCGACCAGAAACAGACCCGAGCGCACGGCGCGTCGCGTTCCGCGCGCGCCTCAAAGAGCCATTAAACCACCACAGATGGGGCCCAATACGGCCGATGCCGATTCGGAGTCGCGGAGAACCTAACGGGTAACCGGGGCTCCGACTCGACGTGCAGGAGAAGGAACGGGATGGTTTTTAGTCAGTAAGAGTCTGACACTCCCTCCCGCCTCACCCAGGCGGGAGCAGTCATTCGACGATTTTCCACCCTTATAAAAAAAAAAGCCCGGCCGCAGTCGCACTTGCGACCACTCGGCCAACGAGGCAGTCAAGTAATTAATTCAAAGCTATATATTTTTATATCAACTGAACTGAAATAGTTTATACCATAAAGTAATATAGGTATTATTATAGATCGGTGTGTATATCTTGATCAAATATAATACCTATTGTAGTGAAATAGTTCCACCCAAATTTTCTGGTCATCAATTATTTTACAAGTCACATGCATTTGTTTTTTGAATAATAATCATACGATTTATTTACTTTCTTTAAGATGAAAACAGATCTCAGATTGGAAACTATCCAAAAGCTATGTTTAATCCAAAGAAAATTCAAATGTAAAATGTGACAAAGAAAATAGTGACATTCTACTGGATTTATTTATTTGAAATTATTCTCTCACTATGTTTCTCATTCTGCAATTGCAAAATACGAACGAAATCGTTTTAAAATTTAAATCGGTTACAATTAGTACCTACTGCATTATATTGACCTAGATATGTACTGGAAGCAGCTAGTGAGAGGCGGGTTGCAGCATCTTTAAAATGTTCAGTGCATTCATTTACTTAACTTAACTACAATCTCCAAGCAGCCTGGCTAGCGTGGGAATTATGACACCTCTAGATCGTTGTGTGTAATGAACGTCTTTCGACTGTTGATGATAATGATGACTGAATCGTCTTGAGTCTAGACTATAGGTCCAAAGTCTAGACTCTTGAACATTCAGTGCACTACACAGTGAAATTTATATTGTTTTCGTCCCGGGACAAAACTACTTAACATAAAGAGTACTTTCGATGCATAAAGTAAAAAAAAAAAAATAAAGATGTCAATCTCAATTTTATTAGTTTGAAAAAATATAAATAATAAAGATATTTTGTAGGCACTATTTGCATCGTACGTGCCACCCGACAAAAATACATCTTCGAGAATTAGAGGTACATGGCGTGAGGTTTTGATAATGTACCACGAGTTCGTATGCGCTTTCGAAGTTTGCTTTTTGTAATGGTTTTTTGTTTTAATCATTTTATTTCTTTGTAAAACTATCGTATTACCAGAACCATCTTATTTCGGGAATGAATCTATATGAATTTTACGGTGTATAAACGCAAATTTATAAAACAATTGTATTTTCGAGTTTAAGTACTAGTTTTGCGTATAATACAATACTAGATGGTTCAGTATTAATGATGAAACGCAAGGTCACATAAACAAAACACAACCGCGAGCTCCTTATAAGTTCGTATCTAGTTTTACTCGACTCAAGGGTGCACTTCATGGTTTGTATTTGCAGCTACGTGATTGATTCTTGAGATTATTCTTTCCTGTTTTTTTTTTTTTTAAATTCAGAGTAGTCGTGTGGTTTCGCAGCTACGTAAAATTTACCACTATTCGTCATAGTCATGACATAATTTGTCTTTACAAAATCCTAATTTTGTAACAAAGAAACAAGACTCATTATTTCCTGTAAAAAGTACTAGTTCATAACATCACGCCTTTTATCCCCGAAGGGTTAGGCAGGGGTGCATACTATGCCACTGTATAGTGTACCACCCATTTTTCACTATTTATGTTATGAATCCCATGTAATAGGGGGCTATTGTCATATACCGGGCACAATTCCAAACTCCGTGCTACTATTGAATTTTTTTAAAACCCAGTAGTACTTTGCCCGACCCGGGAATTGAACCCGAGACCCCTTGCCCGGCAATCGCACTTGCGACCAATCGGCCAACGAGGCAGTCTACTGTGTACTGATTCAGTATAATATTATATTAGACTGATCATAAAATATTATTAAGGCTTTAAACTTACTATTCACTGTCATTTGGGTCATTTTTACAATTATTATTTTTACACTTTTTACACTTATTATTTATTTTGTGTTACAAAATAAACAAATATTAACCAATATTGTGCGTACAAAAAACTGATATTACAGTCAATAATAGAACCGCAATAAATTTTAATATGACACTGGCCATGTGCACACGCGTACAAAGCCACTCAATTAACATTGTTAGTAAAGAATATATTCAATTTTGAATTTCGAATATTGGAACGAATAGTGAACAAAAATTGTTTACATGTGATGGTACTAGTTTGACATCATTTTTATTCCAAGTGATAGATTATACATGTCATATATAGGTATCATTTTTGGAGTAGATAATAGAAATGTTTTTTAACTTTCGTATCTTGTTCTTCTTTTTTGTTCGCAGCTTGTAGCGACGTAATATCAAATGAATTTGATAAAACCTATTTTTGCCTTTACTAATTATCTCCTGACCTCACTTGATAAAAGTCAGAATCCATACAAAATGTTTCAATATTTCAAAGTCTATTCTCATCTTCTTCAAATACTCCAACAAGACATAAGCAGATTGTTGCGATTAATTTGCCTAAAACAACTCCTAAGTAATAACTTTCAGATACAAATAGTATACTGTTATCCTTCAAGTAAAATTTCCAATGCATTAATAATAAGCACCACTTTCTAGGCACTAAGTCCTTGTCTTAATCTAGGTCGTAGAATTTAGATCCTAGGTTTCCCAAGACTCCAAAAGTTATGTGTCTAGAACTATGACAAATATGTTTTAGATTCCCAACGCAATTTATTACCTACAAATGTCTGAGAAAGGATATGGCAATAAATAATATGGAACTGTGAAAATAGTACAAAATAGAATAGAATAAAGAATAGTCGCATTGTCGACTGAGATGTCATAAATGTACGATGAATTAATTTAAAGATTATACTATATTTGTATTATCCTAAGGTCCATTATTAGAAAATGCCATAAGACAAATTAATCTACTTTCCACTGTTGTGTAAGAAACGTTAAATAAAAAATATGTTCATTATATTTCAGCATTTAAAAGCTCTCAATCAAACTGCTACTTCAATATTTGGTTACACAAAATGGATAATCAATTAATTTAAAAATGGCATTGAAGTTTTGACCTTAGATCGTTAGCGTTAATCACCATTTTCAAATTGACATTTTAGCTGACACCCACTTAGAGGACCGGGTTTGTTTTCTGTGCAAACACCAGGAATAACACGTCAATCACTCGTTAACCGAATAACATTTGACCTAGTCCTAACTACGGTTTCGCCCACAGTGGGATATTTTTACATGACCGGAAAATTAATTGATATTGTAACAATTTTACTTACTTCATTTCACTAAAAATAGATGTTCAAAATGAAAGTAAAAGACAAGATCATTCTTGCCTTTTACTTAGTATGTATTACGTACCTTCCACGTAAAAACCTTAGACGTAGACCTTTACGGAAATGATTCTGAAATCATACATCGACAGCATTGCACACTTCAGATTTTTTGACACTATTAATATTATGCAAATGCCTAAAACAGTTTATGATGCTTTCATTGAAATAAACACATAGATTGACCATAAAGGATTCAGTGATTACGTATGTATTTACCATAATAGATTTACACACAACAAAATATCATGCCAACATTTAAGATTAATAAAATATTTGTGACTTTCATCATTTCCGAGCTCAAAACGCTTCGTATCCTGCTTTCAAAACTGGACATGGCAACAAAAGGAAAACTGGACAAGAATTAGGGACCGTCAGTCCTTCGTTATACGAACTATTATGCACAAATACCTACATCACTATTTTATGACAAACGGCACCCTTTATGAACGTTTGTCATACAGCTCCCTCTGATCTAATAGTCACAAAGCCAATGACCCATCTAGTGTTTTTATTGTTATTGCGGTCTTATGACTTGGCGAATGGAATAAAAATAAGGTATCATGCCATTCAAGGGTATTTCAATGAATCAATATTTTCTTCTAAAGTGCGCAAACCTAAATCTTTTGTGGTAGTTCTTTGACTGAGAAGTTTCTATTTTAGCATAGCTTTTCACTGGTTTAAAAGGCAAATATCGTGCAACAAACAAGGTACCAAGAGAAATATTTGTTCAAAGTACATAAACGTAAATTCCAATTTAAAAGATCTGTACAAAGCTACATAGCGTACCTAAATGCCCTCATTACAGTGAATAAATTTTACACAACTGTCTGTTTGTATTCCCTAAGTCACTACAAAAAGAGGGAACTTAATAAAATACCTATTTCTTCACTGAATTCGGGTAGAACGCTATTTTAGGCAGCCTTACAAAGCTATTCATGAATTGAGAACTAGCTTGTGCGTATTCTAAGTCATTACAAAGCACATTACACTCACATAACTAGTGCATAAGGTATACATTTGAATAATGAAAATATTAATCATTTGTGTGTTCAAAACAACTTTGGTTTTGCTATTGGTAGTATTGCCATAAAGGTTAACTTTTGCCAACCCTGTCAGGGACTTAAAGTTAATATTATAGAACATGTTAAGTTAATTTGAAAGTTCATAAATGACCTAAATTTCTTATAAGAAAATGTTGAAATAGCACACGATCTTAATGATCCGATCCATCACTGTCGATACTTTAAATTGTTTGATATAGACTTTGCTCTTGTTTCAGCTAGATTTCATTGAGTTCCTTTAGCTATAATGCTCCAAAGTTTCTCTGCCCTATTTATACTTCAGCGACTTTTTCATTCCTTAAATTATTATTTTATCCACATTATCACAGGGAATCTATAAAGTTAATGCCGAGACTTTACGAAAGCTGCTATCGGTAAAAGACTTTGAGAAAGAACTAGAAAGTTAATTTTCTTTATCGTCTATTCAAGTACTAAGCTCGCATGCGACTTAAGAGGTATCATAGCTAAGAACATAATAGGCCCTCATTATAACTAAACATCTTCTTACAAACTACACCGCTTTGTTTAAACTTCATAATTGCGTAGTAATTGGCCACGAAACCACCGTCGTTTGCTTTAAGAGAAAATTAGGACTTTGAGGTCACGTTGATAAGTCACCTTTGAATATTAGTATTAAAAACAGAATAATATTTTTGCCTACTATTCTTCAAAAAGTAGGCTGGGAACACAATACAGAGTATGTCATACGAACATTCGTGTAGTATGTTAAGGTAACAGTACGGTAACCGCTAATCATGGCATGCGGTAGATCGTAGAACTTCACCCTCTAGTCTCTACACTCTAGCCACAACTGACTGGAATACTAATCAATTTCAAATCCAAGTATCCAAGTTAAATCTCAAGTTGCGTGTGGTATAACATTTTTAGTTCTTGTTTTCTACAATATAAAACAATTCAATATAAAAATTTGATTTTGTGTTAAAGAAAGTATTTCAAGCCTTTATTTATGTTTACCGAGAATTTAGCTATTGATAAAACTATTACTCAAAAATCCGGAACACGTCTTGAATTATTATTTATTCCAGGAATAAAAGCCATGATATTAAGTTATGGAATAACTTGAACAGGGTTTGAGCTTCGGCATTAACTTCACATTCGCTCCAAGCCAATGACGCGTTAGGGAAGCAATCAGTGCGTCATTCATTTGAGAGAACAGATAAATGAGTTTCTTACTTCGTAACATCTGTACGAAAATCAACTTTGTGTACGCACCTAGCTATTTATATACGTTCGGTTTATTCTGTTATTTTGAGAATTCGAAACGTTTTGTTGAATTGTTTTTGCTAATGATTGCCGCAGTTCATGAGATCTTGAGAACTTGTGTTTGAGTTTGCCTTTACAAATGAAGTCAATGTTCTGACAATATAAAAGTCGTTTATGCACCGATTTGCTTACTCCTTCACACAATAAATGCTTATTTTTAAACGCAAGCTGTTAACATAAAATATTTTTTCAGCTTAAACGACAACCCTAGTAAAATCTTCTATCTTGTTAGAAAATATTCTCTTACTACTAACCTTTCCGTATAAATCCAACATATTTCTAAAAGAGCGCTACACTAGGTAACAGCTTTGGGATTGAGGTTAGCGCACCGATTTGTAAAATATGTAGCGCGAACTCGCTTTTCAAAGCACTCGCTACCTATTCAAGAGGATCAAATCCCTAAACTTTTACTCACCGAGAAAACGTCTTTAGTAACACCGAAAGCTCAATAAACATTTATTTATTCCGGAAATTGGAAATACGTATACAACCAAATAATTTCGTTTTGCAACTCCACACTCCTATTTCCCCATAGACCATTGGCAAATGTATCTCAGGAGAGCTCAAATGTATTCACCTACACGGTTTGCGGATGGCAGTATCAAATTCCACAGAGAAAACGGTTACCTACGTTATTTATTGGCCAAAATCCCCCAATTCAAGGTCACGACGTTCTGGAAATTCTCAAACCGGAAAATCCAATAACCCCTTCTTTTATTACGCACGACAGCCGCGCTTGTGACGCCACGAGCCAGACGATAAGGACCTTAATTTCATTTGAATCGTATTTAAACTGTTCTTCGGTTTCAATGGCTAGACTTGGATTTAGTAATCGATTTCACAAATCCGATTTATTATTAGACTTGCTATAAAATAATGGCAAGCTTTGTTTACGAAGGGGTGAGTACTGGTACAGTAGATACAAGCAATTAAATAATTTAATTACGATATCGATAAGCCTGAGTGTTCACTATGACTATTATGTGATACCAAAAGAACAATTAAAAATATAATTAATACTTACTTATTACTCATCCAGTAATAAATTAAGGGGTTGAACATGGAATTCGCCATGGCCAACCAGTAGAAGAAGAGATAAATATGCTGGGCAAAGGGCGCAGACGCTAAGGATTGATAATGGTAGGTCAGGACGAAGTACGCGTGGTAAGGCAGCCAGCAGAGAGCAAACACCATCACCACCAGGACGAACATTCTCACCACCTGAGTAAAAAAAAAAATCATGATAAGATTGGGATATATGTGGAGCCATTCGATGTAACTGGCCAGTTGGGTGGAGAAGTAATGTAAAAAAAGATGAAATGTATGGTCAATAAACTATGAGGAAAAGTATCTCTTGCTGATTCTTAAAAGGAATAGATGGCAGTCAAGTTATTTTTGGGATTGTAAGTCTTCATTTTTTAGTTTCAGGTGTTCAATTTGTGCAGCTGAGTGCAATAAATTTTTTGCTTTTAACAAAATATGCTAGGTATCTTTAGGAATCTATTGAACTTCGTAATAAATAAAAAAGAACAAATATTTCTCCGTCAATATTCCTCATGTTCTTTATTAAAATAAAAACCTACGTTTGTATTTTTTGTTCTACGCCCACAGGAGTAATGAAATAAGATTTAGGGCTCAGTATCCTATTACGGACTGACATTCGGCTAATTTGCAGTGGACTGGATTTTTTGTTAAAACTTTATAGGGTTAGCATTGTCTAGGGACTGAATTTATAGATATAGCCTTATCCATAAGGACATTAGATCTCCGTATTTAAAGGTTGTACTCATTACTAAAAATATATTTAACGATGAATCCTTATAGTAAGTTTTAGATTATTGTTTATCTTGTTTATCAACGAAAGTTTGATGTTATTGACTATTGCAAATGACAGCTAACAGTAGTACTGGACACTAGTCAGCCTTTCAACGATTCAGTGCGGAAATTACACTCGCGATACACATCACACAGTCAAACGGATATCCTCTGTAGAACTACATACGGTTGACCACTTAGTAATTACCTAGTATCAGTAGTATCTTTAAAGATAAACAGCTGAACAATAATAATAGATAAATAATATTATGTTACAGCTCTAGAGGTAGCTTTTTTGCTATTATATTTTACTGAATGCCCGAATGGGTACAAGTTATCTTAAGTAAACAAACGTTGTGATTTGGAAATCAATTTAATAATAATTAAATACATCTCCAGAATTTTTAAGGATACTGACTACACATTCTTACAGAATAAAAGCATCTGAAAATGTAAGGGGAAAGAACTTGGGCTTAGGACGTCACTGTGAGAGGAAAAGACGGTTGGACCGGACCAGATTTTTAATTAATTAAGGGACTCTTAAATTATATGCTGGCACGAGCAAGTACCAGGGTACGTTCTAAAATGCGAGCACGGAGGCAGTCTGTTTTTATAAGCTGTACCTACTACTTGTTTTAATTTTCTTTTAAGAAAATAAGACTACCTCGTTGGCGGAGTGGTTGTAAGTGCGAATGTCGGGTTCGATTCCCGGGTAGGGCAAAGTATTACTGGTTTTTTTTTAAATCTAAGTAGTAGCACGGAGTTTGGAATTGTGCCCGGTATATGGCAATAGGCTTTCCCCCTATTATATGGGACTCATAACATAAATACTGAAAAGTGAGTGTTACATTTGTACAGTGGCATTAAGTACCGTAATGTGCACCTCTACGGGGATAAAAGGCGTTCCATAAAATAACTCTTTTCTTTTATGCAAAGTATAGACAAATAGACTGATGTCGTTGACAAAACTATGTTTTCAACTTGTTTATAATCTGTATTCAGTGTGCTCATTAGTAACACTAACTAGCTGACACATAAAGTTTTGTTAATTATTAAAAACGTTTTTATTATGTTAGCAATAAAGAATATTTCTGCTTAAAACACAGTTGTATAGTTCTTTTTTTAAATGAATAAAGTTCTAAATAAAGTTGCTCGACTGCCATGAAGATTTACGGATAAAAATCTTATCTATGCCTTCACAACTAATTTGAAGTTTGTATAAAAAAGAAGTTAGAAAAATGTCCTTAAAAATGAATTCTATGAAATTGCCTCAGAGACATTTAAGGAGAACGATATTAGTGCTTGTGTTTAAGGTTCAAAATAAAATTAACGGGTGTCATGTTGAATAGCCTATTTACAACGATTGTTCGTTATATTTGTTCTTGAATACCTAATCTGGTTGTATATTTAAAATACCCAGAATTCACTTTCAAATTATTGATGCAACGATTTTATAGATTAGAAATGTAATCGCACGCTTTTAACAAATACAAAACAGACTTTATTCTAAAAACCTTAGGTATCTATACATAAATTAAAATTGTAGAAAAGTGCTGTCTGTACATTGAAAATAAAAATAAAAAAAATAGCAGGGGCTATTGTTTTGTCGATGTCGAACCCAAAAATGTAACTAACTTTTTTTTTGTCTGTTTGTCTGGTTGTCTGTTCACGCTAATCTCAGAAACGGCTTATCCGAGTTGGATGCGGTTTTCACGAATATATTGTGGTATGCTTCAGTTATGCTTTAGTGTTTGTTTCATGTCAATCGGTTCATAAATAAAAAAGTTACGTCAAATTAAAGAATCACGTCGAACACTATCTATCTATATCTTCTATACATATAATAAAATTGTAGAAAAGTGCTGTCTGTACATTGAAAATAAAAATAAAAAAAATAGAAGGGGCTATTGTTATGTCGATTTCGAACCCAAAAATGTAACTAACTTTTTTTTTGTCTGTTTGTCTGATTGTCTGTTCACGCTAATCTCAGAAATGGCTTATAAATATATATATATTTAACAGGGTGCGGAAAAGGTGATAGTGGTTTTATTCCTCACATTCCTCTCATTCCAAAAAATTTTCCGTTTAATTTTAAACGAATTCAGTTTCCAGTGAGCCTATGTTTCGCCATGACAATTAATAAAGCTCAAGGTCAGACTCTAAAAGTTTTGGGTATAGATCTAAGTATCAGCTGTTTTTCGCACGGTCAATTGTATGTGGCTCTGTCCCGTGTTAGCAATCCCAGCAGCCTGTATGCTTTCACCCCCGATGGCCTTACGGCATGGCATTACGTCTAATATTGTATATAGAGAAGCATTACAGTAAAGTAGGTTTTTTAGCTACCCAAAATGACTGTGATTATGATCCAAATCTAAAATAAAAATAAGTATATATTTAAAAAAAAAACGCTGCCCATAGTCACTATTCTACGCGAACGAAGTCGCGGGCACAGCTAGTATGAAATATAAATCAAAATGCGTTCATCACTTTATATATCAAATAGCCTGGCCATTACACATATTTCAATACTTTAATTGATTAATAGAAAAAAGCACTTACATACCAATTTATTTTTATCCAATTCTATCTTCAAAACAATAGATAAAATTGGTGATTGTTTAAATATATTGTACTGGACATAATTGGATTCAATAAGGTCTATTTTTGACTGAAGAAATAATAGAGGTTTTAGTCCAATAACGTCTCGTATTAGGCTAAGGATTCGTATTGTCTTACAGAGAAAATACATTAGTCCTAACTGTACGAATGTTGAAAGATCAAATAAGCAGTGAAAAAAGATTTCTTTACTTATTTGGATTTGGAATGAATTTGCTGGTACTATTTAGGTAATTAGCCTAGATTTTGTTACTACTGACAAAGAAGACAGTTTGATTCGGTTCACTAGGGCATTTAATTTATTACAGTTTAAACTTGTTGTATCGACAAAGTATTTTTATTAGTAAAATCGAAGTTGGTGAACACATAGTTCAATAAACACTGTATTGTTTCAAGTAACATTTTATTACGCTCTATTTTAAATGAAAACTTGTTAATTTAATTAAAATGTAGTATATGTACGATGCCAATATCATTTATCTCAATCATATGACTTTTTGAAAACATTGTAAGGAAACCTAAGCTTATTATTTCTAGTTCATCATCATCATCATCATTATCATCAACAGCCGAAAGACGTCCACTGCTGGACAAAAGTGCCCTTCAAAATCCCCCTTAGCCCTACACGTCGAACGACAACTCGCCACCTGCATCCACAGGGTCGCCGCAAATAATTTGCAGAAGTTCAAAATCGCCAACCCGAATTGAGCAAGCGTGGCGATTAATTTGGTCAGTGGTTTCTTATAGACGGTTGATGTTGATGATATCTACGATGACTCATTGATTTAAAACCATACGGTAACAACAAAACGTTGATAGATTTCTAAGATAATTTGAATTAGGTGTATGATATGAACAAGACTTTTGTGCGCTATCCGAGATACAGGGTTGAAAAACTGCCAAATCAGACTCGTAGCGCCTAAAATAATTATAAAAACTATCGTGAGATATACTAAACTAACTGAAATCGTGGGTTACGCACGTGAATATACTGAGAAAAGCTCTACTAGTTGTGTGTGAGCTGCGCGACATCGCCGCGACGAAGAACGCCTCTCTATGGTTCTAAACTAGTAGAACTTTTCTCAGTCTATTCACGTAAATTATTGTGTAAAAATAATACTTCAATCCATAGAAGTCACATCTGCAAAATAATTCTTACAAGAATTTTAAATCTTCTACTATTGTCTTACAAATTATGAGTTGAAAGACTTCGAAAAGAATGAACCGATTTTTAATGAAACTTTACACGTGCTTTGCAACTTTATGACGTTCAGTGCAAGCGAAATTCAACCCTAAGGGTAGCAAAGTACTTTAAGATTAGAGAGAAAGTGCAATGGCCTCTATGAACCCGAGTAACGTACCTAGCAACTGATATTTGTTACCGGTGATACCATTAGACGAGTACGGATATCAGTTTGTGCAACGTTGATTAATTGAATAGATTTGGAACCCAATACCAATGAAGGATTAAAGGATATCTATATGGACAAAGTGATGTGATGCTCAAATGATTGTTTATTCTATGTGTTATGCTTTTATTTGCTATCATTATTATCATGCATTTTTGTCTCCAGATGACAAGAACAGATTTACATCGTTTTTTAATCTAGCTCTGGGTAAGACCTACTTTTTTAATTGCCAAGTTACATGCTTTCGCTTTCTATAGTCAACACTCGCAATAAACAAGAAACGGTACTATATTGTTGTCAAACGAATACACACTGCTATGAACAGAATAACAAAAAGTAAACCAGTATCTGTTGCACAGAGTAAAGAATAAATAACAAAGT